TCATGAAATCGGCAATCAATTAAAACTTTCCCAGATCAGCGTAAATAGTCACATTCAAATGTAAACCAAGACACAGGAGTGGGAACTGAGGGTTGTACCGGGTGTACCAATGGTGGTGTCCGACTGAAAGCGTGGAGGCGGACACCACACTTTGGCGATTAGTGCTTAAAGTATGCATTATGTAGATTGGGAATTTACCTTAGAGATAATTAGGGGGGTTAATCTGAAGGGGTAGAGGTTAAGTCAGTACCTCCCGGAATTCAGTTTTTCTTCTGATGAAAACAGTTATACTTAGTGATGACGGAAATGTAATTGCTGATCCATTCCACGCTTCCTCGAATGAAGAACCTGATTACAATTTATCTGAGAGTAAGGCCGAGAGTTCTAACAGTTCTGATCGAGGTTATAATAAGTTGGAAGTATCTATGTATGTTTCCATTAAATTTTTCATTGCATCAAATTTTGCACCAAGTGTTGCAATTGCCATAAGAATGTTATTTACACTACCTGTTACAGTTGCAAGTGGCGTAAGAAGTTTCTCGAAGCTTAAATGTATAAAAACATTCCTACTATGTCTTAAGAGTGACTCAGTGGATTAGCGTTGTTAACTATTGAACGAGACTTAAGCCAAAAACTAGATTTGCGAGAGTTAGTGTGCGATTTTGCAAGTTTGAAAGCGAGAAAAGAAACATTTGTTTAGTTTATAAAAATATCATAAGTTGAAAAATTTAAGTTCCTTCGTAAAGAATATTTTTATATTTTTACTTATTTTCAAATATTATTAAAATGAGATGAGCTAGTGAAATCAGTCGTAACACAATTAAAAAATATTCAAAGGAACTTTGATAGTTTAAGAAAAACCGCAAACAATTTTATTGCTTACGCAAATGAACACCCAAGACATAGCAGACAATTGTTTACTTATTGAAGAATCTTTACCTGAACAAAGGAATAGTTTGGTGAAACGAATGCCCAGCGAAAATACAAGACGAAAAAGCGATTGACCGATTTAGAATTATTGAGACCTACAATATTTTATTAGATCAGGTTGTTGACTCAATTTATAAAAGGTTTCCAAAGATGTGCAGATTTCGCCTTTTTGAACCCAAGAAATTTTAGAAAGAAATTTTATCGAAGTTAGGAATAAAGGAATATCTAATCACAGCCTGCAGAATCTTTCACAGGAATATTATCATTTAATGATAATGATGATGATTTAATGATTTGATGATTAATCAAGAAATTAATCAAGACTCCATTGAAAACTTTGTTGGACAATTGCGCCAACATGGGGGTCGTAATATTAATCCAAATAGCTCCATGTTTAAAAATTATTTTAAAACATTATTTATTAATAATTTAATATCGAAACATTCCATCGGAGCAAATTGTGAAAAAGATGACAATATTAATTTAATCGAAAACGTCAAATGTTTTGTAACTCAGGGTATTCCTGAAGAAGACACGAATGACGAAGTGTTAAGCGTATTAAGAAATATAAATGTTGAAATGAGACCTTGGACATACATCGACAAAATCAGTCTAGGGTATCTCGCGGGTTTCACTTCAAAACATTTAAAAACTATAAATAGTTGCGAAGCTTGCAAAAATAATATTCTTTGTAGAGATACTTCATGGAATGACTTAATATTACAAAAAGAATATACTAAAGGCATTCCTAATAAATTAAAAAAATGTACTCCTGAATCTTAGAAGTTGTAACAAATATATACAATATTAAAATGAAAACATTACCAGAAATATGTGAGAGAAATAAATGTATTTATTTTCTATAAATTTACTTAAATGAGGTAATATTTTTTAATGTTAAATTTTCGTGCGATGATATACATGAGGTGAAAAAGACAATTATCGAAAAAATTTCCTTTTTTGTTTGTTTTAATTGGGCTTCGGGACTCAACAAGGTACTATCTGTAAAAACAAGTAAAGTAGGCTTAAATGATAAAATATATGCACAAGCTAACCAATATTCTGAGAAAAGATTAAAAAATAAATAAAATTTATATTGTTAAATCATTTTTTTATTTATACCTGTATACCGTGTGCTTTTGTATGTTTTACTGTCAGTATATATACAAAGTTTTGCTTGTTTTTCAGGTAAAGTGGACATGAATAATTGTAACTGTACATATAGAAATACCAGCGACAGGTGGTGAAAATCAGTCATAATATATCATAATTGAAAATAAAATTAGCTGCACCCTATGTATATGTAGAGTTACAAATGTTCGTGCAAACTTTGTTATTAAATTATTATAATCATTTTTTGGATTTAGAAGTGGGTTATTAAATTTCGTAATTATAGTCGTATTTTATAGAAATACGAATATTTCAGTTTTTAATTACATTGTTTCTTATTTGTCAGTTTATTAGTTAATTGTATCTCATATCTTGTATACCCTATAACATTATATTATAATTCATTTTTTGAATATAAATAAATAATAAAATGCTTCTTCACTATATGTATATAACAGCAGTATTTTAATAGAGTTTTAATAAAGTTTATTATATTATTACTGTGTGCTTAGAATAAAAAAGGTAATAACACCAACTGCATTTTATTTCTGTTGTAAACATTTAAATTTAAGTGATATTTAATTTTAAATATACAAGTCAACAAGTTCCTACTTGTTGATGATATTTGATATTTGTTTGTTGTGTATATCTGTTTGTAAACGATTTGTAACAATGGCGTTTAATACTAAAGTTAAAAATAAGGTGCTTTCTGAACAAAGTTGGGAAATAATACTCTGTGCTAAAATTTATGAAGGAGAAAAGTGAATTAGGCAGTGCTTTAATAGCTTTACCAAAAGATCCAGGAACGTGTAGCCAGGGCGACTGGTGTTTCTATTCGAACTATTAAAACAATAGCACAAACCCATAGAATAATAGATCAGGGTGAAAGGTCTTCATTTTCAACTCAAATAAGAAAAGAAAAATTACCAACACAAAGGTAAGTTGTTTATTTCTTCTGCTACATATGCTATTGCCTTGCCCTTCATGATCCCTTAAACGTAGTACCTTTACTCTCACATGCCATGTCGCATTATTCACAGCCAAAATTAAAATTCCCGCTCTGCCTATAGTTGGTACCATGGTTGGTACCCCTGATATGTCATTCCTTCTCAATGCGTGCCATATCGTGAACGCTCTGCTCTTTGTGTCGCATATTTTAGTGAAAACTGATAAGTTCAACTTTAACAACTTTAACTATGCCAAAACATAAACGCCGACATCATTCGACTCTGATTCATCGGACAACCTCGGACTTCAGAAGATTTTAGAACGCCGCTCCCGGGCGCGCAGAAAACATTCGTCTACCACGTCGACGTCGACGATAATTTCCAGTAAGTATTATCTCATTGTTTTTCTGTCGTAGATGCTCTGGACCATTCCCCTTTTGTTTTGGGTGGGGGGGGAGCTGTCATCCTTAAATTAATTAGAGAGTTCATTTCCAAGTAAATGTAAAGATAGTGACAGCATGGCTAGTTGTTGCCTACATTGGAAGCATATACTGAAATAACACTGGCTCCTGTTGGGTAGTTTACCCACCTTACACGCCAGTGACCAGCTTGATTGCCTATTATCGGTCTTTAAGGGCCCACACGCTCCACCTTGCTGAAGTTTTTATTACATAGTTCTGTTAGGACTATGTAAAGTACAACCTGTTAGGTAGTACTTATGTAACTTTTTTTGCCGTTGGCAAATTTTTGTAATCTCAATGAGGGTTACCTGAGGCTCATGGCTACGTTCCTTTCTAAGGCTAGAGCAGTATGCAGGAGATATGGATGGCGCATGGGGAGTCCCGGAGACACCACTTGACCTTTTGGATTCTTCTAAGCCAGTTGAAACGGTTGACCTTGAAGTTTTGGAACTTCTGGAATTCAATGGCTCTCAGGGGCCTAAAACTGAGGATATTATCCACAAAAATGTTGCGGAAATATGGAGCAAAATCTTGGCAGAGGGTTCGTCAGAGGAAATCAGGAAGGAGCTTTTGTCAAAATATCATTTCTTTTTATATTTGTCGCTGATGGCACCGTCACAAATCAACCGGGAGGTGCGGCCAACATTGTCTGCAGCCAATGAGAAATTTACAATTATATCGTGGTAGAATTAAAGATCACTTGAACGCCTCTGCACAAAATAAAATTAATGAAAATGAAAAGCGTCGCAATACCAAAAACTTAAATGTTGGAAATTTCGTTCTTATGCATCAGGGGAAAACTCAAATGAATTCCAAGATCCCTTTGAAATTAAGGGCATAACGCCAAAAGGACGATACGGAATAAGAAGAGTAGGTAAATCTTTTGTTACCAAGGCTGCAAAGGAACAACTGAGATTGTGGACCAGTGATTGGTCAATGATCACGGACATGAAAGAACTACTTGAAGATTTAGAAGATAGGTAAGCATCTAGAGCGATGGCTAGTGTTAGAATTTGTTACTAGTAATTGTGAAAATGCTAATAACTATGGTAAGAATGACATGGTTAAAGCTTGGTACGCTTTGCATTTATTTGTGAAAATGTTTAAAGTTTAGTACGCTTTGCATGCAAATTTGTGAATATGCTTGAAGGTTTTTATGCTTTGCATTTTTTTGTTCGTGAAAATATTTAAAGCGGTACGCTTTGCATTTGTTTGTGAAAATGTTTAAAGCTTTGTATGATTTGTATGTTTGTGAAAAGTTTTAAATTCTAGTCTACTCTGTAATATTTTTTTGGAAAAATGTTGGATGAGCGAAGTTTGAGTGCATTCGCCATTAGTTAAAGACAATAAGCTTGATCGCGTGGCAGTTTTTGTAAGAGTGGTTGGAACCCGTTGTATGTGCATGTGCGTTATTAGAATGTTTTGAAGTCATTCGATTCTCTTGCTAAATCTGTGATGTCACTTTCAGTAATGAAGAGGCTGACATGGTGTAACAGGCAATTTACGTTAATCGCAATAAAAGTAAATAAATAAGTATCACATTGCATTTATTCTTTATTAATGGTGTATTACATTATATTTTCTCTTTATAATTCATTTCAAATGCAGGTTATTTCACAGGAATCGTTGTGGGTCCTGTCACCTTAATTACAAGGTTGTGTATTGTGTATTGCCTAAAATATATTCAAGGTCTAAATTTTTAGCCACCAAAACAATTATTATCGTTACCTTAATGCGTTCGTATCCAGGTCTTGTAAATAATATTTATTCATCCACAACTGTCGCCGGCCGCGAGATCCTAGGGAGAAATCGTATTAGAACCATCCAAGTGCATGCCTAGCTCCTAGAATAGAAATAAACATTCAATCATACTGATAACCTAAAATGTAAACAAGCAACTAATACTTAGTAGATTATCGATAGACTATACTCAGGATAGACAAAGTTAGTTAAGAACATTAAGTCATTTGTTTGGTACTTACCATATTTTTGTAGATTCGTAGATGACATTTGACCATTTCGTTTCTTTTCGTCCTTTGTCTTCCGGCTGAAACTCCACCTACCTACCTGCCGAATTCAGTGCTGATTCTGCGCGGTGCGTTGTTGCTCGAGTGTGCGCTGAATCTTCCATGTTACCACTTTTCTACATCAAGGTATTTCTAAGAAATATACACGGGAATGATATATTTAGCTACTTATTTATGTTCAGGGAACTTAATCAATGTGTTATAAATCATATTAGATTTGATTTTAGGGTTAATAATTGTTTACTATAGTTTACTTAGTTTTAATTGGTCAGACTCCAACCAATAGGGGTCAGGGATAGTTTTTTTGATAGCTTAAACTCAGGAGGGGATCCGCGCAAATTTTACACTTTATTACTTCCGGTATCTGGCTGTGTGGATTGGGTGTGTCGTAGTGTTGGGAAAACTTTTGTGATTTTTGAAATCAGCTCTTGAGGCTATTTGTTTTCCAAACACCTGATGTTGATTGCGGTCCGTCGCATGTTGAGTAATTTTTGTGGAACCTAATCGCAAATCTTTCTTGTAAAGGATTTGTATCGTCACACCACGCAGCCAAGAGCGTGGTCCCACCTCACGTTTTTCAGTAAGTTATATTTTAAATTTTGTCAGTCTTTATCTTAGTTTCCTCGTGTAAGTTTAGATTCTAATTGATATCGTATTTACAGTTTACATAAGGCCCCATTCGCGTAAATTTGGGAAAGAAAAGTTCCTGTGCAGTTCAAATAAATTTAAGAACCCCTTTGGCCACGGTAAGTTTTTTTATGCAACTTTTATCTATTTGAATATTCCTTCGTTCCACCAATTAGACTTTTATATAAATTCCTATAATTTTGATACCATGTCCTTAATTTGCGATGTTGCCGAACTGACTTTTGTCCTTTTCTCAAAAAAAAATCAATGTTCAAGCATATTAGTAATTGTTTTAACTGTTCAAATGGTTCGGTAGTTACACAAGAATTTATCTTGCATTATCGGGGCTTATACGAAGCCGGTGCTGCGCCTGAGCTCACGCGACGCTTGACGACATATTGTTTTTTTATTCGCCTAATCCCATCTTTAACCTTAGGCCCTTAATTTTTTTTCCTTTTCCTTATTTATATTACTATCTATTGCGAACTAGCTCTATTAACGGCAACAGTGACAATCTACATTTTCTGTTTTCTTATGTTCTAATCTTAAATAGAGTGCGGATTAATAAATCATGTTTGTCATTGAGTGTGTTATTTGATCTTGTTTGACAAGTTTTCTTGATCAAGTAGTAGGAATTATAGACAAAACAAGACCACCTCTCTTCATGTATCACTTAGGAAGCATTTTCGGATTAAGGTAATTTGGGTTAAATCGACATAAAATAACCTCTAGTACCTGTAGTTTCCGTTTGGCAGAAGAGTTTCTGAACATCCTGTAGAGTCTCAGTTGGTATTAGATTTGTGCATATGGCAACGGAGTTCTCAATCAAGTATTTTGTTATTTGAGGTGAACTGATACTAAATTTTCAATACATACCGTAGGACTAAGAAACTAACAGGTCGATAAATGTTGTATTATTTATATGTAGTCAATTTTAGTAGGTATGTTTTTAAGTTAAATAATTCTATTGTCAGTGTTTTACTAGTTTGTTTGTCTGGAGCAGAGTTGCCTAAATTGGACTTACAGAAGTCGCTTAAATTGAACCGGTCCAATTTAAGAAAGCCTTTAATTTTGTATCGCTTTTTGTCACGCAGGATGCCCCAACGTGGAAAATACGGTACGTGGAGCAAGGAAAATTTGGAGCATGCCCTGGCCGCTTTTCGCAGTGGTAACTATGGCTTAAATAGGTGCTACCGCGAGTTTGGAATTCCTAAAGCTATTCTAAAAAGACACATTGAAAACAAAAACAAACGTGCGAATGATGAAGTAAAAATTATGGGAAGATCCTGTGCGTTTTCAGAAGAAATTGAACGTGAATTAGTCAAACACATATTAATCTTTGAAAAACATATGTTTGCATACGAAATTGCCTCTAGGAACAATATCAAACATAACTCCGAAAACCGCATTGCGGGCAAGAAATGGTACTATACTTTTATGGCTAGGCATAAACAGCTCTCACTTCGCCAGCCAGAATCAACTTCCATGGGCAGGGCAAAGGCATTTACTAGGACTAGGGTCAATGAGTTTTTTATTATTTTGGAGAACATATGCGACACTAATAAATTCACGGCTGCACAAATATTCAATGTGGATGAAATTGGGCGCTCAACTGTCCAAAGAAAATGTCAAAAAGTGATAGCTTTGAAAGGTAAACATCAAGTCGGCAGCCTTGTTAGTGGTGAACCGGGTGTAAACACAACTGTTGTTTGTTATGCAAGTGCAGCTGGACAGTTTGTGCCTCCAATGATAATTTTCAAGAGGAAGCGTTATTAAGAACTTGTAACAGGTGCTCCACCTGGAAGCATAGTTACTATTAGTGACTCAGGATACATCAACACTGATTTATTTGTCATATGGCTTAAGCACTTTAAAAAAAATGTTAAGCCAAGTCCTGAAAACCCTGTTTTAGTGTTGTTAGATGGCCATTCTACACATAGTAAAAACCTCGGAGCATTAGAATTCGCCCGTACTAATGGAATAAAACTGTTACAATTGCCCAGTCATACCACTCATCGTCTCCAACCATTAGACGTTGGTTTTTTCCGGTCATTCCAAAATTTCTTTGGCCAAGCCATTCAAAAGTGGTTGAGGAACAATTCAGAACGTACCGTTTCGATGTTTCAGATATCTGCCTTAGTCGGGGAAGCATATGGACTTCAGCTACTGTTAGAAATGCCACAAATGCTTTCAGTCCCTGCGGAGTGTGGCCAGTTGACAGAAATGTTTTCGACGATAGTGATTTTGCAACTTCGGAAATGTTGAATGGATTACCCGAAGCTGAGTCTAACAACAATGATGAATCATCTTCAGATGAAGAAGTTCCATTAGCTCAGTTAATCAATCGCAAAAGAAAATCTTCAGTAGATATTCTTAATGTTTCCATTCAAGAAATATCATCTTTGCCTGTCAGAAAAGAAAAACAAAGAAGCACCGAAATCTGGTACCCAAAAAGCAGTCGAATTAACTAGTTCTTCTTACAAAAATGAACTAGAAACATTAAAGGCTTCAGCTTCTAGAGCAAACCTAGTTAAAAAACAACTGCATTCAGAGCCCATCAACTTCTAAAGTCAACAAAGTTAAGAAGCAAGTGGAGCCAATTGAATGTCATACGCAGAAAGTTATGCCTGAAAAGAATCTGCTACCTGATGTTATGGAAATAGAAAGTGAAAACTGGTGCTGTGCAATATGTGAAGAGGAAATTGTTGAAGAAATGATTCAGTGTATGGGATGTAGAACCTGGCGCCACGTTAAATGTGCAAATATTTCTAGAGCTTTAAAGAAATATTTTTGCAATGACTGTAACTTAACAGATGACTAATATATTTGTTATATTTAATTTACTTCTTTTATACACCATGTAGAGTTATACTTTGTTAATTTCACTGTTTGTTGTTCTATTTTCCGAAAGGTCCAAATAAGGAAACTCGTGGTCCAATTTGAGAAACTGGTGCCCTAAATTGGACTTTTGCACATAGTTTTGTTTTTCTTAAGTAAATCGTTTGTATTCATTTTGTAACGGTCTCATTTTGAGCCCTTACTATTTTGACCACCCAGTATATGCTCGATTGAAATAATATTGGTAACTAAAGATTGATTCTAGATTTTAGTAATGTCTTGTCATAAATTATAGCACGAAGTGTAGTTTTAAATGTTTTTTTCTGAAGTTAATGTTGATAACTGAATACGTTTTTTAAATTTTGATTAATGTACTTCAAATGTCGTTTTCCTGAAGTTAATATTATGTTTTATTCTCGATGCAATACGACTAATACCATCTAGTGGTGCGCGGAAGAACTTATCGTATCGTGTATCGTTGAACGACATAGTGTTTTATTCGCATATTCAATGCGTTTCGCTAAGAAGCTCACAGAGGCGCGGAACTGGAGTAGGCGTGCTCCGAGCTCGGATATATGTTTTAGGTAAGATATAGTGTGATATTTATCTTTGTGAGCATATTTTCATTTGCGACCCATATTTTGATATGTAACCGATTTTTCGATTTGTTTTGTTGATTAAACATATAAAAAAAACAATTCCTAGTTTTTAATAACTCGTTAATTAATGAAGCTAGGTGGCGCCCACCCAAATAAGAATATTTTCTCTTACCTGGATACTGGCTATCGTAGATGCAGACCTACCCCACCTGAAAAAGTTGTTCTCAGCTCTAAATTAGTTATTGAGTCTAGCCGAGGTAAGTTTTGAATCTGGTGAACGTACAGTGTGATTAGCAACCCTCGTGCTTTCGCAGTGATACTATTTAAGTAACGTTAAATATTTGTTTTAAGTAATTAATTTTTGTAATTGTTGCAACGAGGCATTCTGCCTCTTCCGTTGCATCGCATACCTGCTATCAGAAAAAATTAACATAACATTTACAATTTATGGCAACTTGTAATATTTTTTTAAGGAATAAGTACATTGTACAGTAAGTCTGTTGTATACATGCTGTAGCATGTATACAACAGACATTAACTGTTTCTCTCGTTTTCAAATAAAAAAAATAAAATTGAAGGGTTCACTAAGTTCACTAAGTTCATCGTATGGATCCGAGTCATCCCGATGAACCGGAAACCAGCATGTGCCATCTGGAAAACCAGAACGGGGAATTGAGGACAGGGGCCTGGAAGCTAATCAACCGCAAGGTTGAGGAGAAGGGTCAGGCCCTTGTCCTCTCAGTTCATAAGATGAGTGTGATGGCACTACAGGAGGGCTTCAGACCATTTCTGAACGCCACCAGGGTCCTTTTTAGGAACCTACAGAAGGTCAGGGTAGATTTGGGACCTTCTGATGAAGATCAGGAGGGACTAAAATCTCCAGGTGATACAAACGAACATTCAGCACAGTACAGCGGCATCCGCTGCTCTCTGTGCCACTGTGGGATGAGGATGAGTTCACTATATTAAAAAATGCAGGGATAATATCTTATTAAAAAATAAGTGTTATTTGGTCTACAGACTTTTTTGTAGAAGGTTTTCTTTTCGAGATACAGAGCTTTGAAATTTCAAATAAAATATGCAATTTTTATTAATATCTTAGTTATCCTTGAAACAACGTGATTAAATCTTTACACAAATTATGTGTACAAGGGAATCTTTCTATTGGTAGGATATTTGTTCTGCCACATTAATCAGTAGAATGTGTGACTTTTTATAAAGGCAAATACGCCACTGACTTTCTAAAAAGGGTTATTAAAAATGAAGCGCTACACGGAAGAACAACACATTTTCATTGTTGGGCAATATTAAAAAAAAACAAGGTTTCGCAGCTATAGTTCGCAATTTTCATATAAAATATGATCGGTATAGTGATATAATTTCATCAATCGCGAACAGATTAATAATTGTAAAGAATTTTGATGACCTTCATGATGAATTCGATATTTCTACTACAGACTTTATTTGGTTACATGAAGACACGTTCACTTGAAACGAAAGGGTGGAGTGGTTTTCAAGAAGAATGCCATCAAAGTATTGATTATAAGGCATCAAGAATAATACCAATTCCATTCGTAAACAATTTTCTAATACAATATTCGCAGTTCTTGTCGAAACAGCGGAAAGGTGCAAATCAAGAATTCAGAAGCGCTTCTTTATTACTTTCGATCACCTTTATACTTAAAAGCACGCGAAATAACTTCTGGGATAGATCCTGTAAATAATTCTTATAATTTAAAACCAGCAACAGTACGGCTTGGAGGCTTCCACATGCTTATAATTTTCAATTTTCTTAGGATCTGTTGGATTTATTATGAAAGGGTCTGCACTCAAAGAAACATTTTGCGTCTTATTTCCTGAAAAATCTCCCGAAAAAGCATTTGAAGGTCCCATTAATACAAGCATCAGTCGTTGTTAAAATTTTCAAGAAGTTACTTTAAGTGAACAAGATATTTCTTTTATGTCTAAATATACAGAGGAAATTAGGAAAGCAGATGAAAAATAGGACGATCAAGTAATTATTGTTATTAAAAAAATATATATTGAGCAATTACGAAAAATCGAAGAAAGAGAACCAATTTGTAAATTGTATATACAATGTTTTATTATGAAAAACATCGTTAAGCTGAACGTATTGGGAATTGGGAATTGCACTTGCAATGTGTGCAAAGTATGTTGCCGTACTTCCACGCTAGCGCACATCACTTGTATGCTAAATGTAGTCAAATGTACTTTCAAGAAATGATAGCATTAGAAACCACAATGGACATTTTTAAATACGATA